CAGCATCACAGCCACCACAGGACAGACTGACAGACGGTGGGGAGGGCCTGGGGTTAGGAGGAGAACACCTCCCCTCGATCTCAGAGGAGCAATACCTAGGTGGCCACAGTGGCCCTGGCTGGAAACGGAACCCCGGGCTGGGCTACATTTGAGTGTTCACTTAACTGGGCCATTTGTCCTTCCCTGCGAGGGCTCTGGGGCGAGAGGTTCCCTTTCCAAGCCCAGAGCTCTGAGTCTGCAAGGGGAAAATGACTTCCAGGCTGTCGTCCTCAGCACCTCGGAGAGAGGCTTCATCAGGGAGGTGGTGACTGACGTCCGATTATCTCCTGGATCACAGGGAGACGGAGGCGAACGGCTCTCAAAGACAACACTGTCAGGACAACAATATCACCACCAGAAACACAGGCACCAATGACCTTCCCGAGCCGGTCTCTGCCTCACGTTCTCTCTGCTGCCAAGAGCCTCTCACAGCCCAGGACCCAGCACTTCAGGAACGTGTGATGTCAGGCTGCCTCTGAGCTCTGGAGCCTGGGGGTGGGAGGCCGTGGGGCCGCCTTCCCAGCCTCTCCACTGGGGACCCAGTGAAGGAAGGGGCCATGGGGCTGTAGCTTCTGAGCTAAGTGGTCGCCCCTACTGCCCTGGGGAATGAGGGTTCGGCACGGGAGGAGAAGGCAAAACGGCTATTGTGAGGGGACAGGGCAGCCCGCCACCATGATAAAGAGCAGTCCCTTTTTGAAGCAACAAGCAGCCAATTGCACCCCATGAGCCTGATTCCGGGGAGGTGAGGGCACAAGCAACAGAATGGAGCAGACGCTAGGGTGGCGCTGGGACGCCTCCGGTCCTGGGCCCTTCGTCCCGGCTGCTGGGCTCCTCTCGGCAGGTGGGAGTGGATTCATGCCCCCCATCCGTCTGGGTACATCTTGCCTCCTGCCTGAGACAACCCCTCTTTATTTACCACCCCCTTCCTCTCGCTCTTACAACCATCTCCTCTAATGAATGTACTACTCACTAGACAGTGGAACCCACGAGCTGCACAGGCATGCGGGCACTATGAGAGCCATTAAGCATCATTATCCAGGCGGTCATCCCCTTGAGGGCTGACACAGGAATCCATCATGCCGGCGAGGGCAGGAGCATCCCTGCCACCTCTCTGCACCCAGTTCCTGTCGCCCTGGACGAGGGGGAGAAGCTCGACTAGGCTTCCGTGTCAGGGCACTGCCCTGACTGTGGATGCGGCAGGTGAATGACGGCCAGTCCCTGAAGGGCAGGTCACACTTTCAGGGCTGTGGGACCTACTGCAAGGCTCGAGCTGCAGGGCACGAGGAGCTGGGGCAGCAGACCGGCCAGAAAAGCAAGGAGGGAGACCACTTTTCTCCAAACACTCGCTTCTTCTGAGATCACCAGCCTTTCAAACGCTCCACGTGAACAGATAACAAGGAGAAGGGGAGATGCTGACTTTTGACGCAATGCCTCTCAGCCTTCTGGCACCAAGGAGTCTCGATCCCGACACTGTGTTCTTGGGGATAGTGAGGGCTTCGTGTAGTATGGAACGAGCCCTTGTTTCCCCCGACACTCACGTGATTTAACCCAGAGCTCTGGGACTCGTGGAGGAGGTATGAGTACATATCAACCCAAGCAGGGGCACAAGGAGGCCTGCCCTCCCAGGTGCTGTCCAGAGAAAAGGCTGTGTTGTCAAGGATTTCATTTTACTTGGATCCACAATCAATGCCCAGGGTAGCAGCAGTCAAGGAATCAAATGACGTGTTGAATTGGGCAAATCTACTGCAAAAGACCTCTTTAAAGTGTTAAAGGGCAAAGGGGACAAAGGTGTGCCCAAGCCATGGTATTTTCAACTGCGTCACACACACGTGAGAGCTGGACAACGGGTAAGGAAGACCGTGGAATGCATGCCTTTGAATTGAGGTGCTGGCCAAGGACAGCGAACACACTATGAACGGCCAGAAGGACGGACACACCTGATGTGGAGGAAACACAGCCAGAATGCACCGTGAAGCAAGGATGGCGACGCTCCGTCTCACGCACTTCGGACACGTTACCAGGAGGGACCGGGCCCTGGAGGAGGGCACCGTGCTCGGTAAAGAGTCGGCACAAAGGAGGAAGCCCCTCACCGAGGTGGACTGACACAGTGGCTGCAATGCGGCCTCCAGCATGGTGACGGCTGAGGACGGTGCCGGCCACAGGGTTTCATTCCGTGGGGTACGGCAGGTGTCCGCCCTGCCTCCTCCTCTCGGCTGGCTGACAGAGGAGTGTTCTTCCAGTCACAGAGGCTCAGAGCTGAGCCACAATTTAGCTCAGCTGCACCCTCGTCTTCTTGGAAGGAAGGACCGAGAGTGGGAGAAAGTGGGAGGCTGCAGGCTGGACTCACCTTCAGAGTGGGTGGGGCCTTTCCTGGAGGTGCGCTCCAAGCCCCAAACCCGCAGGGGCTGGGGGACCACCTGGCTGGCGGGCATGCTGCAGAGCCTGCTCCCGCGGGGGCTGGAGCTGGGCCAGATGACCCCAGGGGTCCCTCCCGACGAAGTTGCCGGGACGCCCTTGGTGCTGTGGCACCTGGGCTGGGACTCTGTGACCCTAAGTGAGGGGAACCGGGGGTGGAGATGCCGGAATTGCTGGAAGTCAGTGGGATCAGACATGGTCCTGACTCGGAAGTGCACACCCAGAGTGCTGATGAGGGGTGAAGGGTACATCCACTGGGAGAGGGAGCTGGGGAGAAGGTCAGAGGAGACGAACCCCAACCTCGGCTTCCCTTCTGCGGAGGGGTGGGTAAGGTCCTGGGACAGCCTCCCGGAAGCTGGATAAACCTAACAGGCGCAGACTCCTCACTCAAAAGACCAAACAACACACATGCCAGCTGAAGCCAGAGCCAGTGCTGGTGGACAGGGCGGCAGGAACCCAGACCCTCCTGTCCTCAGGTCCAGGTGCATCAGCAGCAGCTAGTCCCTCCCTGGGATGGCTCCCTATAGTAAACCCCACCAGGGGGCAGAGACCCCACACCTCAGCGCTTTACTCGCTCAGAAGGCATTGCAGACGGACGTCTTGTCACACCCCGGTGGCCAGGGAGGCAGAGGCTGAGTGGCTGCCGCCATGGCCCAATGGGTTTTCTGGCTGTGCCACGTGGAACTCGGGAACAACGCTGCACCAGGGCTCTGAAGGTGATGACCACCCAGCCCCGGGCTCTGTGGGGACGTGACGCGGTCTCGTGGGAAAGACGCTGCTCCTGGGTGCCAGTCCCTGCTCAGTCCTCACAATGTGACCTTGAAAGGTGCTTACCTTTTTTTGGTACTAAATTTTCCCACCTGTCTGAAGGTGGGCAGACGGCTGGCTCTGCTGCTCTCCACAGACATTTCTGCCTGGCTGTGCCGGCCGTGTGATGGATGAGCCTAGCGGCCTCCAGGGCTCCAGAAGACACGCCATCTGCATGCACCGCTCTGACGCTAGCTGGCATCTGCCTTTCAACACTGTGCTGTGAATCGGCACTTGCTTTTTTCTGGAACCACGAGTCCAGTAGCCGTGCAAATTTCATGGTCAGTAAGGGCCACTGTTCTGACGTTGGAACCAAAAGACGATCATTTATGACCTGCCCTGAACTAATGACTGCGGTTCGATGATGGTCCCTGACCCTTCAATCGTGTGTCAGCCGCCTCTGTCTTCTACCTTGCCCTCCCGCCTCCAAAACCTACCTTTTAAAAAAGTTAGCCATATCTACTTTGTGCCCAAGGCTTATGTTTCTTGATAGTCTAGCTCTGCAAAGGGGTTCATGTCAATGTTTTTCTTCAAGCACGTGAATTTGATCTTCCGATCATTAAAGGCTAATCCTCATGTGGAACTGAGGGTGATGTATTTAACAGGGCTACTCAAAATCAAGAAAAAGGATCTCTAGAAGAAAAGGAAGAAAACATCTTCCATGGGCAGAGGTAGGAGTGTTCAAGGAAACTGAATGTCTCAAGGAGACCGGGTACAAAGGGGAAGCAAATGGCAGAGAAAGAGCAGAAAAAATAAACTAGATAACTCAATGGACGGCAAGGTAGGTGGGGAGAAGCAAGTTCAAAGTCTAAACTGAGTGACACGTTTCCATCATCTATAAACCCACTGCCGTGGAGTCGATTCCAACTCACAGTGCCCCTAGGGGACAGAGTGGAACTGCCCCATGGGGTTTCCAAGGCTGTCATCTTTACCAAAGCAAAGCCCAAACCACACCCATGACTAGTGAGTCTATTCTGACTCACAGCACCCCTAGAGGACAGAGTGGAATTGCTCTGTGGGGTTTCCAAGGCTGTCATCTTTATGGAAGAAAAGTCCAAACCAAACCCACAACCACTGAATCTATTCTGACTCACAGCGCCCCTAGAGGACAGATAGAAACTGCCCCACAGGGTTTCCAAACCTTAAATCTTCAGGGAAGCAGACTGCCTCATCTTTCTCCCGTGGAGTGGCTGGTGGGTTTGAACTGCAGACCTTTTGGTTAGCAACCAAATGCTTTAACCACTGAGCCACCAGAGCTCCTCCCATTGTCTATAGAAAGTGATATAAGACACTCTATATAAGAAAATACTCCTTTGTCTCCAGGCGCTGTAAGGAGAATGAAGTCCTCCTGGAAAGAAAGTTCCATCTCAATTTCCCCAACAACATTGGCTGCGTTTGCCCTTTGTTATGCAGGTATTTTAGCGTGGTAAAAGACAGGAAAAAGAGTCACAATATACTGGGTGATACCACCACATCCATCATAAAGCCTGTCAGTAAAATGTACTGTGAACATGTATGCATGGTACAAACTGGAATCATATTGACATAAATAAACAACAGAAACAGGTGGGCAGAGGCCCCGTCTCCTCCTTGTCGCTTGCACAGGCAGCAGGACCAGACAGACTGGAGTCAATTGGGACCTGTCACCATGTTCCAGCTGTGGCTGGGACCCTGGCACAGCCGAACCAGGGAAAGAACAGAGGAGAATGGGCACAGAGTCAGACGCTTCTCAGACTCACCGATCCATCTCATGAGGGAGGTCAGGATCTGCAGGTACTTGGTCTTCTGGACGTCAAAGAAAGTGAAGGGCCCAAGCAGGAGGGTGAAGACAGCCTGGGTGATGGAGACAAGAGTGAGGAAGGCAGGGGTCAGGGCGTGCGGGCGTGTTGTCTGCCCGGGGAAGAACAGGGCTGTTCCCTGGGCCTGCCCACCTCTGAGGCTCAGACCTGCCTCAGGTGTGCACGCGGACAGGCTGAGACTCCCCAGGGTCCAACAGCATCACCTCGCACACATCTCAAGGACCAGGGGAGGAACAAGGACTTCAGAGCCACGCTTCTCTGACCTGCCCTGCACTTGACAGTTCTGTTTTGCTTTCCCAGTGAGCCCCAGGCATTGTCCCAGAGTGTCACTCACTCAACTCTGTTCTCAGCACCCAAGGAGGGTCTTTGTACCCAACACTGAGCTAGGCACACACACAGATCAGGTAGGAGAATGAGGATACAAGCGACCCCTGCCAGGCCTCCATCCCTCACTGTCCAGCTGAACAGAGAGGACATGGAGAGCAGGGACACAGGAGCCCTGCCAGAGCACGGTGGCAGGGGAGCACATGGCCATTAAAGGGTCAACAGAAAAGGCCTATGGATGTCATTACAGTTCCAGCTTTCTCAGAGAGGGTAAAGCCCAGAGGACAAAAGGCAGTGACTTCAGGCAGGTCACTCAGGCAAACAGCCTGTCTGAGAAGAAAAGGACCAGAGGCAGTGCTGGTTCAGTGGCAGAATTCTTCCATGCAGAGGACCTGGGTTCAATTCCGGGCCATGCACCTTATGCACAGCCCCCACGTGCCTGTCGGTGGAGGCTGTGATGCTAAACAGATCTCAGGGGAGCTTCCAGACTGACAGAGACCAGGAAGAAAGGTCTGGTGATCTAGTTCTGGAAATCAGCCCACGAAAACCCTACGGGTCACGTCGTCTGACCCCGCTGTGCATGGGGTCACTGGGAGTCGGAGGCCGACTCGAGGGCAGTCAATGATAAGGAAAGCAACCATGTCCAGGGGAATCTGGTGAACAGGGAATGTTTACTGTTTTCCAAACTCTCTCTCAGAAAACTGATCTGTGGGAAACGGGAACCCCTCTGCAAAGAGTATTGGGGTACGCAGGGCATGGGGAGTGGTAGGAGCCGGCGGAGGGACAGGATCTCTGTGCCAAACTGGCTGCTTGGGGAACAGAGGAATTAGAAGCTGCCTGCTGGAGTTAAGATGATGGCCTCATTTCCAATCTGCCACGCGGAAGCAGCACACGGGTTCAGACCTTATTACCATTTACACAGTGCCGTTTTATTGTGTTCACGCTGACACCCACCAGAGATGCAGGGGAGCGGGCTCCGGAGCCGGCGCGTGGCTCAGAAGGACCCACTTTGGGGAGTCGCCCGGTCCTGTGATTTGGGTGAACGTGTCGCAGCTGTGCGGCCCGGCCAGGCCCCGTGACAGGCGGGCGGGGGCTCCACCAGAGGAAGGCTGAGCCGTCCTCCCCGCCCCCTCGGCACAGAGAGCAGGATGTGGGAGAGGCTGTGACCTCTTATCCAAGTCCATTATCACTGTGAGCATGGATGATGCCAGGGACTAAAGTGTCGCCTGAGAAAAAGGCTCTAATTAGCTGGGGTGGGTGAGGCCTCTTGGCAGTCAGCAGGGCTGGGGGAGTTCTGGAAAGAGGCATGGTCTGCTGGGGGCTTCTGTTCACAAGGGGGGAAGGCGAGTGTTTCCGTCAGGCCAGGGGTGACCCGAAGGCCTCTCCTGGTGAGAGAAGGGGCAGCCGGCCGGGCCGCTCGGCCGGGGAGGGGCCTGGGAGGCTGATGCGGCAGAAACCCCGGCGCTTGCAGCGAGTCTGTATGTAGCACCATCCTCAAGTCATTTAGGAAAATTACCACTTCAGGGCGACTTTCCACTGATGACTTTCTCTTTTGAAGGATAGAAGAGGGGATGACACGTGGAAGGAGAAACAAGCTGCTTGCCACAAATGCTCCCAGTAACTGCGCCGCTGGGAGCTGACTCCTGACCCCAAGTCTTGGACACTGGGGTCGAGCGTGCCACCCTGCTGGCCCTTGAGGCCTCTAGTGGAAAGCGTGGCGTGGACCCCACCCTCCAGGGGCTGGCTGGCTGTGGGTGCTGGCAATCTTGGGGTGGGTTATACTGGGGGTCAGATCTCCTCTGGAAAGATGAAGGGCTAATTTTTGTAAGGTCCAACTACATAAGACTGGGGGTGTCACAGAGCTGACCCACAGGCAGGCAGAGAAGCTGCTGCTGCGGCAGCTGGGGCCGTGCCCTGGGGACACTGCCTCCTTCTCCATGGCCGATGCTCATCAAGATCCTACTACACTGAGGGCTACCTGGGTGGCACAGATTAAGTACCCGACCATTAGCTGAAAGGTTGGTGGTTCAAGCCACCCAGGGGGAGCTTGGAAGGCAGGCCTAGTGATCCGCTTCGCAACGGGCACAGCCCTGAAGGGCCCATGGAGTAGGTCTGCTCTGCACACGAGTTGCCATGAGTCAGATTCGACTCGATGGCAACAGTGACATGGCCCATGAGGTCCTATTCTGAAAATCTCAAAGCACGGAGCCCCAGCCCACTGGCGGCATCCTCCCCTCACCCACAGCTACATCTCAGAAGGTAAACCAGGAAGTAGAAGCCAGGTGCTGACGAGTGACGGGGAGTTTGAACCTACAGAAGTTCAGAATAAGGCGCATACCTGCCTGGGACTGACAGAGCTAGTTCTAGGGACAGCAGGTCTACCTCTGAGTAGGATCTTCATGAAGACTTGGCTGACAGCTGTGGCACCCATGGCTGGATGCCGGCTGGGATGCGTTTCCTTTTCAATGCTCAGAAGCACAGACCAACCTCACCACTCGGCAGGCTCGGGATCTGCTTAGGCAGAGATGTACAGACGGCCAAACAGCCTCCTGCCATGGGGATGTGCGCTCGTGCGTGAGTGGGAGCCCAGATGAAGACAGAGGCTGCGAGCCGAGGCTAATTAAGGAACAGGTGTCCTCTGAAAATGAGTTCGAGCCGGAGCGGGCATCCGAGTGGGGAAGGACAGAGGCCGTGATGCCCAGGCTGCCAGGCCACCGTGGGGCTGCTGGGCGGCCGGGAGGGAAGAGGAGGCAGGAGAAGGAACAGCCCCAGACAGTCCCGGGCGGGGGAGGGGCGGCTGAGCTGTCCCTGCCGAGCAGCCACGGGTGGGGGCTTTTGTTTTCCTTTTTTCAAAGGAAGAAATAAAAAGCCCAGAGACGACCTATCCTCTTGGGTCTTCCAGTCTAGCCCACATGACGTTATGAATTAACTGGCTCCTGAGCCATCTTCCAACCCCCACATGCCACGGATCAGCTCAAACTCAGTCTCCGTTCAAGGTCTCTTTCAGCCCAATTCATTACAGCGCGCAGACACACCAGCCGCTGCGGCCACTGCACTTCTTCAGAGCAAAACAAAAACAGCTCTTCGGTTTCTAACCAAATCTTCAAATTGGTCACTGGGAATGGAGCCCGGGGCAGACCTGGCAGGAGGCAGACGGGGCTGCTCACAGCACTGTCTTCTTGGGGCACTGCGTTTGGATGGGTACCAAGGCCCCACAGGCAACCTTGCCAGGTCCTGATGAAGACAATGCCACTCATGTGCCCAAAGCCCCGCAGGGACTCCTTGGCCATGCCTCCTTGAGAGGGTACCAGGGACACCCTGAATTTAACACCTCTAACACTGTCAGTCTGCTGTACTGCAGTGGCTTGCGTGTTGGGATGCTGTGATACTGGAAGCTATGCTATGGCTATTTCAAATACCAGCAGCGTCATTCATGGTGGACAGGTTCAGTGCAACTTCCAAAGACAGACAGACCAGGAAGGAAGGCCTGGCAGAATGCTTCCAAAAGCTGGCCAGTGAAAAACCATGTAGTTACAACAGAATACAGTCCAATATGGTGCTAGAAAATGGGCCCCCTAGGCTGGAAAGTGCTCAAAATACACGGTGGCTGTAACAATGACCTTGACCAGACGGACGACTGTGAAGGTGGTGCAGGGCCAGGGTCTGCTGTACACGGGGTCAGCCTGAGCTGGAACTGACTTGACAGTGAACATCCACGAAGCTCCACACAGGGCTGCTTCTGCTCTGCTTGCTCCCTGGGTCGCTGACGCACCCTGCCAGCCTCTAGCTGCCAGGCTCCAAACTTGTACTATGTCCGATGCCTTCTGCGTTCTGTGTTAGTTTCCCAGGGCTGCTGTAACAAATCACTGTAAACTCAGAGGCTTAGACCTCGCTCAGTTCTGGAGACCAGACGTCTGAAATCCGGCATGGCTGCGCCACTCCGGAGGCCTCAGGAGGGAACCCGCCTCGTCCAGCTTTTGCTGGCTGCCCTGGCCCTCCTCGACTTATGGCTGCATGTCTCTCATCTCCGTCTCTGTGTCCAGATTGACTCCTTCTCCCTCTGCCTCTCTAAGGACACTTGCAATGGCCTGGAGGGCCCGCTGGGAGAACCCCGGGTAATCGTCTTGTCTCGAAATCCTTTACTTAATCAAATCTTTTGCCATGTAAGGTCACATCCACTCTTTCACCTTAGGAGGAGATGTACACAAGTTCCAGGCACCGGGACGTGCTCACTTCAGGTGGCTGTTATTCAAACCCGCTGCACTCTCTGACCACTCCACCATCAGGCAGACGTTTGTGGACGCTGCCTTCTGGGGCGGGGCTGCAGACAGCCCTGGACTAGACGGCGGCTTTGCTGAGACCCCGCGGTATACGAGTGAGCAGGCAACGGCTTGGCCACTCCCCGAAGTCACCACTTTGCTCTCGGAAGTGGTTCAGAGCAGCCAAACAGCTAGTCCCCGGCCACCGAGCGGCAGATGCACACATTGTGGCACTTACAGGACTGGGATCTTTCGGTCAAGAACTTGGGCCCAGACTGGGCTCTTTTAAGATCTACCTCTAGGGATTCAACCGACAACTTGAGGACTAGGTGTGAACCTTAAGGACAGCGAGTTGACGTTCTGCAGGGACGGAAACGTGGAGAGGGAGGGTGAGAACAGGGGGATGACTAGGATGTGATCAGTGTCCCTGAACTGTACGGGCAGAAGCCGC